TGTTTACTCCGTTTTTTGTTTGTATTTTATTTTATATTGTGCTGTATTCTGTTTTTTCGTATATAGTAAACATTTTGATTCCTCCAGGGGATTTTATGTGTTATCAATAAACTTGGACAGTCTCTGCGCTGGGTTCCCGGTGTGACGTCACGATGTATTAATGAATATGCAAGTAGTTGTGTACTTTCTGAAGCACAGTGGCCTCAGATTCGTGAAGCATCAAATCGGGAAAATCAGGGGAAAAATTATTGGGACAGAAAAATGAACTATAGAGGGCGTTTGGGGGAAACTCGCATCTTTTCCATATGATATAGTCATCTGTGCTAACATAAACTGTAAACCACTCCTGTTTTCAAGCAACGCGTTAGTTTTTCAAATTGTATGCTAGTATTGTTCGACTTTAATTTCACTGCGAAGATTGTTTGGAAGATTTTTTCCAGACTTTTAACTGTTTTTGGCCGTGAGCTTCTAACTGTAGGAACCATATTATTGAGTTTAATTGTAGTTTATAAACTTTAATACAGCAATACCAAAACTTAAATGTCAGATTTCATTTTAAGGATTTAATTAAGCATTATTCTATTCTCTTCTATTGATAGATATAGGTAAGTGTATCCGATTTCTACTCATTCATTTATTCAATTTATGTTTTATTTTCCATATCATAGTGGAAAACACGTGCATCTAACATCCTTTCGAAACCAGTTAATTATTGTAACGCTGTCCAAACTCCCAAAACGTGTTCAAATTCATATATCCGTCTATTTCGAAAAGTAGGACCCAGGCATTTTTCAGCCACTTTGACTTTGAAACACATCTCCCGGGGTTTCATTCAGAGTACGCCCTCTATGTGTGACCCAATTTCTTTCTGGTCGTCTCTGCACATGCGTAAATAGCAAATCAAGCAATATGGCCGAATCGAACTGCCATGAATACATCTTGCTGTATAAACATCAAAATATCGTTTTTGTTGTTGTGGACCTTGCTTGTAAAATAATTCGCAATTGAACAGCATCGGTTACGCGAACGTGTTTTGTACTGAATCCGACAATTATCATTGAATTATTGTCACACTGACCCTTTGTTGATTGGAGCGGCGTGACCAGTTTGTCGTATGTGCTTTTTCAAAGATGGCGTCGCTGAACGAGCAGAGTTTTGAACGTAAGCTACAGAATGTCAACACGACCCAAGATAGCATCCAGACGCTCTCACTGTGGTGCATACACCATAAAAGCCAACATAAAAAGATAGTTAATCTGTGGATGAAAGTATTGAAAAAATGTAAGTAACTTTTTATTATTAATTAACTAGTCTTTAATAAAGTACACATTGCTTATAAATGGGACATTTTGTTGCAATTCAAAATAGATGTTACAACCAATATTAATACCAGGTATTATTTACATATCATTTGATATGTCGATTTGTATTTACTGGTTCATAATAATTTTAGCATCATAAAAATTAAAACAAATTATCAGGGATGAGTGAGTAAATAAAAAATATTCACCTCAAATGAGAGGGAAGGATGAAACAAACCATGGTACATAATCATACTGTGGTAATTACTTAATTTAATTAATTTCTTTGATTACAGTTCTACAGATAGCAAAAAAAATGTCACAATATGGAATTACTAAACATCTCCCGGTTTCTAACCATTTTTAACCACTTACAGGCTGGTATTCCGCGCCTGGGAGGTACCGGTTGGTGTTTAATACGCTCCTCACAATAAAGTAATAGGATTAAAACTTGCAAGTGTTTATGCATGTTCAAATCTTGTGTAATTTATAGTGACATTTCTATACAGATTGCATATGATTTTGGCTTGTCCTGAATTTGCAGCATGTAAAAGATAGGCAACTATAACTATATTTAATCAGCTACTGCTCAATCAAACACTGACATGGGATCCTCCTGTGGGAAAAAAATGAGTGGATGCAATGTCATTATTTTAGTTTTTGGTTCTTTGGTTGCTATACATATAAATACCATGACAAAAAGGGAAGTTGATTGACATTGATGCACTTCAAGTCAGCAGGAATATGCAGTTTTAGGCAGATATTTAACTTTACCTTCACTTTTGTGATGAATATGTTATTTTGTATGGTATCCAGGTTTCTTTTAAAGTTTACGTGATTTAACAAAATACGGAGACATAATTTTTTATTGGCGCACACAAAATAAAGCAGTTACGTGTACACTGTATTCATAATATCCAAGTATCAGTGCATACATTGTAAGATTTCTGAAGGACGTCATACATGTCTATTCAAGTTTTAAAACAAATGAGGCAAACAAGCTCACGACTGGTCATATAATCGACTCCCAATATTATTTTTTAGTTATCGCTGCTATACGTATTGCTTGCATTCTATTTTGCATGTCCACTCATTTTTATACAGGATGACCGACCCATGATGGTTTTTGAGTTGGCATTGGTGGCCGAATGTAAATATTGTGCTGTCTTACAATGTCCAGGCATAGTTGTACCTTTATTCCTTTATCTAGTAAATTGAAAAAAACAAAACAAATATTAATATTATAAGTTCCTTTTGACTCCAGCAGCTGTGTTCCTTTCCATAAAAAATATTGCTAATTTAAATAACTCATGGTTAGTGTTCATGGTGTAAGTCCATTCTTTACCAGACTGCATATGCCTGGTCTATGCAGTGATTGTGACTGTAAGAATCAACACTGATGCACTCACACTCAGTTGCATAGCAACCAGAGAACTCAAAATTTGTCCATACATGAAACTACACAATCTTAAGAATTATTCTTCCCTTTCTCTTCAGCCAAATCTGCACACAGACTGTGTCTGTTTTATCTCTGCAATGATGTGGTTCAGAATAGCAGAAGAAGGGGAGCGCCTATATTTCTTGAGACCTTCAAGGATGTACTTGAAGAAGCAGCCTCATTGGCAAGGTAAGTAGCAACAGTGATTATTTATCTTGTGTGCACAAGTTTCTGATTCATCATCTGTTTCAACTAAGTCCCCAAAAATGTCACAGCGTAATTATCAGGCAATAAACAAAGAACTAAATGTCACGGATGTTTAACAGGAAACTTTCACTTGAAAAACGGCTGACTGGCTAAATAAACAAACAAAACAATGGCTGACACATAAGATGATTCTTAAGGGACCGTTAGATATGCCAGAAACACATGGACCAACAACAATTTATCACATTGACCGACAATGTAGAGTGCTTGGTATGACCTTTGTCCTCAGTACACATCATGAAACGTAACAATATAATCATTAAATTAGCAGCTATCAAATTCTATTTTGTTTGTTTATCAAAAACCTTAGTTTCGAAATGAATTTTTTTTATTCATTTTCCCACCCATTCCTATATGTCAATGCATATATACAACTCAATTAATTAAAAATAATTAATAGGAATTTTAGAAAATTGAATGTGTCACTAAAGACACACAGTCGCTATCACAAGGAAATGCATGTGCTAAACAAATCATGCTGATAACTCAAAGTTGATTGTAAGTTTGTTTTTACACAAAGCGATTTCATTTATTTGTAAAAATAATTGAAGAACATCAATATAGTACTTGCATTGTTCATTTGCAATTGGTATTCAAATAAATGAAACTAGATGTATTTAATATTTTCTTTTGATTTTTTGGCATTGTTATGGCAATTAGAAATGCTAATCATATGCAAATTAGCAATTGTTCTTTGAGTTTAATTTGTGGAGAATCCTTCACTGTCATACATGTTTAGGCATGATCCTTGCATGGAAAAAAAGGCAAAAGAATTGAGACCTTAATTCCTTTATCAACGCATGGCTCATGGGGAGATGCTTGTTTGTAAACAACATCACACTATGCACAGGTGATGACTCCCTCGCTGTAAACCTATAGTTAATGCTGAATTTAAAATAGTTGCCAGAGAAACTGTTAGTGTTGAATTTATGCGAGTGTAACAGCATAAACACTGCTGTCTGGATCATGATGGCTAACAATAAATTGTTTTTCCTACCAAATTACAGTTGTTTTAAATG